AACCTACCCTGCCACATTACACACACTGAATGGAATGGTTTTTATTTCCCTTCTGAGGCAGAAAACATGAAAATGCAACTTTTCAGAGAAGCTTTCTGTTGAAGACTCACTACTGCCAGTGAAGAATTTTCCTGTGTTCTACATGAAAAATAATCATCTTATGTCTAATCAGCCTGTGTTCTCTGAGAAATGATTTTACTGGAGGGAAAACACATTTTTATTGAAAACCATTTGGGTTTTTAAAAATAGATCATTTTATATGGATGTACTAGGTTTTCAACTATGATAAGCTGAACACTTAAAGCAGGTCATTGTTCTTGTCATGACCACCTAGAAAACTTGAATAAAGTACAAAGGAAAAGTTTGTTTGAAAGCATCAGAGAGATCCAAACCTTTTAGGACTTGAAGGGCCAAATTCTGGAAAGAAGGCAGTTCATTGAAATAAGTGCATTTTTTTTTTCAGTTGCTACTTAACTCCTTGGGAATGGGACAAGATGCAGAGCATTTGGGCACAGGGTTGACTTCTAAGAGTCAGAAAAGACTGTCCAGCTTTAAACAATTCTATGAAGCCAGAGGGGCAGAAATTAGGATCCAGGTGTGTAGGGCAGTCAGGATTAAGTGTCCAAGATCCTAGAGAAAAGAGGATCAGATGCTGCACTGATTTTTTCTTCAAGGCGTTTACTCATTTAAAATCTGTAGGGTAATGGGGAGAAAAAGCAATCATAAAGCTGATGAATGGAATCACAGGCAGTGCTGGGAGACAAAAATTTGAGTTCAGGGTCCATCAAGGAGGAGGAACTATAAGAAAAATCATAGATTCTCGATAGGGGTGCTTGGGAGGGCTAAACTTCAGGAGTGAAACAGAAATATAGTGAGCTTGATAATTACTGAAAAAAAAATCCCAAGCATAATTAGATCTTGATTGGGTTGAGGTGGTGTGCTGCTACAGTGCTCTGCAGAGAATAGGGTGACCTTCTTTAGAGAGAGACAATGAACAGTACTCTAAGTTTTCATGTGCAGTATTCATCATTCAATGAAAATTATCAATTATATTAAGAGGAAAACATAAACTTTAGAAAAACAGACCAAAAAATGACACAGATATTGGAATGATCAAACATTCACTTTAAAATAACTGTGATTAATTATTCAAGGAAATAGAAGAAATTCACTGAGAATAAGAATTTACATTTAAAAAATCAAATAGAAAATCTGGAAATTAAAAATAAAATCCCATTGCAACTGAAATTAAGAACCAAGTAGATAGGTTAGGGTTGTGGCTCAGAGGTAGAGCACTTGCCTAGCACATTCGAGGCCCTGGGTTTGAACCTCAGAACTAAATAAATAAATAAATAAATAAATAAATAAATAAATAAATGTATTGTGCCTGACTACAATTAAAAAATAAATATACTAAAAAAAACCCAAAAAACAAGTAGATGGGTTTAATAGCTACTAAGACTCAAGTAAGGGGAGAATGATGAGCTGTATAATAGGTGAGTAGAAATAGCTATACTGAAATGTGGAGGGAAAAAAGATATAAAATATGCAAAAGAGTATAAGGAATGTGGAACACGGTGAATAGGAATAATATTTGAGTTTAAATTCCACAAGAGGAGAGAGAACAGGGAAGAAGAATATTTGAAGATATAGACAACTAAAACCTATTAAAAACATTAGGTTTTAAGATGCAAAAACTTAGTATGAATCCAAAGCAAGATAAATAAAATGAAAACCATAACTAGATACATTATAATAAAACTAATAAAAGCCACAGATAAAACAAAACTACAAAATCCTTAAAGGTAAAAGACAGATATATACTTTACCTTTCAAGGGGCAACTATAAGATAGACAGCTAACTTCTCAGCAGAAACAATGTGCTCCAGAAAGCAATGGTATGATGTCTATAATGTGCTGAAAGAAAAAAAATTGCCAAGCTAGAATTTCACATTAAAAAATTCATTCCAAAGTTTAGGGCATAAAAAAGAAATTTCAGACAATAATAAAGTTCTAGACAATATATCCAAACCAGAAATCCAGATAACAAAATTTAAAAAAATGGGCAAAATGCATGAACAGGTATTTCACATTATATATCTATATCTATATCTATATATATATGGTGCAGTTTTAAAATAAAACTCTTCTAAGTTCGAAAGTATAGTTTCATAATTTATTAAAACTTTTGGGTGGATGAAATAATAATCAATGCTATTCCAGGCTTAAATATCAAATCCAGGAAGATAGAACTTTATTTTTTTTTATTTTGCAGAATACATTTTATCACATGTACTTTACCAGGAGGAAACAGAAGCAAAGAGGTAAGTGACTTGCCTAAATTCATTAAGGTGGAGGCATTAGGAGGATTCACATTTTTAGATCATTTATCCCTTTGACACTTCGACTATTACTGGGAAGGAAGATGTAGACTTTGACATTAGTCTCTGTTTTCATACAACCTACATTTTAATGCTATGAGATAGACAATAAACAAACGATGAGCATTTTGAAGAAGAATGGAGCAGGTCAGAGGATAGAATGGTATAAAATTACTTGTTTAGGTAAACTGATTTGGGCTTGATTTAGTCAATTTTTTTTCTGCTGTGACTAAAAAACATGACAAGAACAATTTTAGAGGAGGAAAATTTGAGGGCCTCATGGTTTCAAAGGTCTCAGTCTACCACTGAGTCAACCCATTCAAGTAGATTAATGCACTGATTAGGTTAAGGCTCTCATAAACCAATCATTTCACCTCTAAACTTTCTTGCATTGTCTCCCACATGAATTTTGGGGGAACATCTAATATCTAAACCAAAAAAAGGGCCTCTTCAGGAGGTGGTCTGTGAACAGAGCCCTAAATGAAGTGAGGGAGCCAGCCATATAAATATTTGGGAGAAGAGCATTCCAGGCTCCAAGAAAAAAAAATGTGACTGGTACAGAAGGAGTGAAGGTAAGAGTGAGGGTGGGGACTTCAAGGTTTACTCTCAGTGTTTTCATTCATTGGAGGATTTCAAGCAAGAAGTAATGGAAATCAGCCTAAGTTTTAAAAATAATTATTCTGCCTTCTGTGCAGAGAATAAATGGGGCTAAGGGTGAATTCAGAGACACCACCACTTAAGAGTGTTAACATTATTCCAGGAGAGAATTGATAGTGGCTTAGACTAGAATGAAAGCAGTGAATTAGTGAGAAATGATTGTATTTGGAATGTATATTTAAAATATAGTCAATAGGATGGAAATATAAGCTAGTATAGTCATTATGAAAACCTAAATGGAGATTCTTTTAAAAACTAAAAAAAAAAAAAATAGAATTTCCATTTGGTCTCAGTATGTTTTCCAAGGATTTTAAAATCAGTGTGTTGAAGAAATGTCTGCCCTCCTGTGTTCACTGCAACATCATTCACAATTGATAAGTTTTGAAATCAACCATAATTATGGATGTGTGTATAAAGAAAATGTGGTATGTATACACAATGGAATGCCGTGCACCCTTTAAAAAGAATAAAATCCTGTCATTCATGGCAACACGAATGAACCTGGAGGACATTTTGTTAAGTGAAATAAACCAAACACAGAAAGACAATACTGCATGATCTCTTATATATGGATTCTAAGACAATACCAAACTCATAAGAGCCAAGAGGAGAATGGTGGTTTACCAGATGCTGGAGGATGAGGGGAATGGGAGATGTTGGTCAATGGACACAAAGTCTTAGAAGAAATAATTTTTTTGAAATCTATTGCATGGCATGATGACTATGGTTAATAAATACATATTCCAAAACTGCTAAGAGGAAATTTTAGATGTTCTTACTGCAATAGCATTTGAGGTAATGGATGTGCTAATGAGTTTGACTTAATCATTCCACATTGATACCTACATCATAACATCACTTTGTATTTCATAAATTCGTGCACAGAGAAGTTATCAATTTTCAATTAAAAAAACCAAAAATAAAACAAATAAGATTTATTTGTGGGTTATTTGTGTGAGATGAAGGAAGAAAGGAGTCGAGGATAATTCCACAATCCTTAGGAGATGGAGGATGGAGGAAACTTTGGCCTCAGCAGTGCCTCAGGAGACACACAGCTGGAGGATAAGCCCAGAAGAGGTGTGCTGCAGAATGGGCCAGGAATGCCTCCTGCCTCCCTCTATCTGTCAGTTTCTTGTCTTTTTCGGCTTTGTCCTTCATGATTTAGTGGGTTTTGTTTGTGCTTTTGTTCTCTTCTAGGAATTGTCACTGCTTGATCCTGGTCCATATATCTTCAGACAAGATCCAGGTTTTGTTGCTGAGCTGACCCAAGATGGGACTCCCTGGTCTCCAGGCCTGGGATCTGGGCCTTGGTCCTGAGCTACCTGGAATCACCCGCAAAGGCACCGCTGAGATCTAGCTGCCAGGGACACAGCTGTAGGGAAGACACCATCCTTTCCTCATTGGAACTGTGGGATGATGTAACCAAGAGTGGCCCCAGCCATTCTGAAGGCACTCAAATTGTCTGTGGTTTAAGCTGGTCAAGGTTCACCCTGGAGCTGGGAGTAGGGTGGGATTTCCCCCCCACCCCCCCACCCCCCCATGTATAGGGTGGAAGTCATTTTTTTTCCCCCCTGAGGCAGCATTTTACTGTTGAGGGCCACAGCCTTGTTGGGATGATGCCTGGCATTTTTGGCAGAACTGAGTAGTTGAGAGGTGATGCCAGCAAGCCATTGAGATGATAATGGTTATGTTAAGCTGTGTATATTAGACCCCTGCTGTCCGCCTGGGCCTGCTACTTTGGAGTTCTCCTGCTACTTTGGAGTTCTCGCAGGGATTCTGGGAGAGTTTGCATTGGTTGAGGAGGTGCCTGAGGAGGGATTTCCGGTTGGTGGTTCCTGGAGGAACCACGAGGCATGTGGGAGAGTTCCCGGGGAGCATGTGGGGAGTGTGCTGGTGGAGTTCAGAAATAAAGTTTGTTCCTGCTTGAGTGGTTCGTGATTTGTGCCCAGCCAGACTGCCGCATTTTACAGCACAAGCTTTATAAGCAACAGGGGAACACATTTTTCCATATTGTATTCAGTCCAACAGAGCTCAGACTCTGGGGCTCTTGCTCATACACTTCTGTGGAGACTTCAAGCTTTGCCACTTAGCACATTCTCCAGGGTTCTGGTTACCTGATGAGCATTGAAGGTGTTCAAAGAGACATTCTTGTCTTGCAAAAATGGGTAGCGGGCCCAGAGCTTGGGCTGAACATCAGAGCATTCCCGGATTAGAATGGGCAGATCCGGATTGGCCTTCTTCAGTTCCACAAAACGTTTCTCGATTAAGTCCCTGATGCCCTGGCTGCAGGGCGAGCACTCGCATAAGTGGATGCGAATCTCACGCAGGCCCAACTTTGCCCCCGCTGCTGCTCCACCGGCTGCGGCTGCTGCCATAGTAGCTAGTACTCAAGCTCCCAGTCTCAGGCCTTCCAGCCAAGTTCTCCAGTCAGTCCACCAAAAGCGGACACACAGCCTATGCCATTGATTGGATGATGCAAGGAGGCGGGGTAAGCTTTAGCCAGTGCCAAGAAAGCATTGTAGACTGCCAGAAGTTAAAATTTGAATGAAAAATTCAACTTTTCTTTCCAAGAGATTAGGGAAATCTACAGTGATTGGTCTAATCAGAAAATATCCACCTCATGAGGGGAGAGAGGCAGCATGCTTGTGGGGCAGGTGGAGAGAAAAGCAGGCACTCTGGGGCATCTGTGGTCCACGAACAATGGACCTATCCTAGGATAACTTTTGGGAGGTCATGACGTAGATGATCTATTCTGAGCTCATTTAGAGACAGACATCACTGAGGACTTGTACTTAAGTTGAACCACATCCTTCCTTTAGGCATTGTAAGGAAACCACAATGTATGTGACCAAGTCAGAGCTAGTCCTCCTCCCACGGAACAGAAACTTCTCAAAAATAATGCTGATGTTGACCCTTTCCCAAGGATCTTAGAAACCAGTGACTCCTCTCTCAGACCTAAGGCAGTCAGTACTAATTTTTGCTTTAGCTCTTAGTTCAGAGATGGGAATTGGGGTGGTCTCACCCAATGCCATATCAGGGGTCATGCAATGTGGGAGCTGAAAGAGATCTTGTAGGCTATCCAATCATCCTTTGATGAGAGGGAGAGAAAAGAGTTCAGATACAAAATGGCACATACTTTTGAAGACTTATTTAACTTCTCTGTGTATACTATATGGCTATTTGTGCTCACAATTTGCTATTTCTTTTGGGTCCATGTCTGAATGAAGGGAAATTAGACCCTATGGTATACAGTTGTCTTTGCATTATCAGTGGGGGATTGGGTCCAGGACCCTCAGAAGATACCAAAGTCCATGGATGCTCAACTCTCTTACATAAAATGGCCTAGTATTTGCATATAACCTGCACACATCCTCCCATACACTTTGAATCACCCCCAGATTACTTATACATAATACAATATACATAGTTGTTATATCACATTGTTTAGGGAATAATGACAAAGGAAAAAGTCTGCACAAGTTCAGTAACAAAACCAACCACTATACCTAACTCCATAGTAAGTGATCAAGAGGCAAGGTGAGCCAGACTCAAACAGGAAGGGCTGGACAAGGACTGAGGCACTCTGAAGTGGCAGGAATCTACAGCTGGGGGTGCCATCTCTTCACTGGTGTGAATTTAGCATAGTGCTCGGCATGCAGCAGATTCAAGTTGTACTTCCTGGAATTTTCTTTCTTTTTTTTTTTTTTAATTTTCAAACTGCAGTTGGTTAAATCCACAGATGTGGAACTTGCAGATACAGAAAACCGACTGTTCGTTCTTTGTTCCTGTCAGTCAGTCATTAATGAGAAGTGATGCTCATAGACTGTCTAATCCAAAGTCAGAATTGTTCTCAACTGAGAAGACAGTAGAGGACAGGACAGACATGGAGCTTGCCATCAGGATCTAGAGGGAAGAGATGGAGAAATCTCCAGTAAATAGTCCACTTATTTAGAAATTACAAGTATTATGAAGGGCAGTAAAAACCAGTGAAAAATGGTAAGCTACTTTAGGAGAAGATGTTAAAAGCTTCAGGAGGTCTTTGTTTTGGACTGGCCTTCAGCCTATGCCCTAGCAGGCTAGACTAACCCGAACAGAACTACTTAGTCTAAGTGCCACATAATGAAATTGAACTTCAAAATGGGCCTGTTTCTGGTCAACCTAAGTCAGTGTAATAACATTAGGCAGGAATTTGGGATGCCCAAATGGCAGAGGCAGGGTATATGAAGGATTCTACTGGAGACGAGACAGGGAGAAGGGTCCTGTCCCTGTTTCTGATAAGTCCCATTCCCATGACAACTCCTTCCCCTGAGGACTTATCACCATGACAAGCCCTGCCACAATTTGGTATTTTAAAATGACCAATGGGGGTAAATTGGACAGTATTCTAATTAGGTTTCCTAAAGTAACCAATGAGGGGGGCAGAGAATTGGAGATATTCTAATCAGGTTTTATAAGGTAACCAATGGGAGCAAAGGAGAGAAGGTCTTCAATCAGGTCTGTGTAGGGAAGAGAACGACTCCCAGCTCAGCATGGAAGACACTAATTTCCAGACATTGGAACCTTGAACCTCTCTCTCTTGCTCAGCCCACTCTGCTCCACCTTACAGGGTATTACTTCAACCTTCACCTTCAATAAATCTGTACTTTGCCTATTACTTCTGTGTGTTTTGCTCAATTCTTTGTTTGGGACAGCAAGGACTTGGACTCCCATTAGATACTGTGACGGTAACAATAAGTAGTCACCTCTGTTTTAATCCTATGATAAAAGGAACTCTGAAGTGGCCAATCTTCTTTATTTGTTTGCTTCCTTCCGCCCTTTTCTGTCCATAAGACCAGGATCCTCTGCTTGACTTATTAGAGCTAGAATGAGGTGTGCCCCCAATGTAGAATCACAAATAAAACCCGATAGATCTTTAAATTTGTTGCAGTTTAGCTTTTGACAAAGGTCAAGGAAGAGCTCTTAGAAGAGCAGAGTCATTCAAAGAATTAATCCAAGATAATCTGAGAAATTTTCAACAGGGCTTGTGGCCCCTGAACACCACTCCAGCCTAGACATTTGAGATGATCTCAGTACTGTGTCTGATGTCCCTCAAGGTTAAGGGTGTCCTAGGTTGCTGGACATTTCGGCAACTTTGCATGACCAATTAAGGGAGACCATAACCAAGAATAGCGTGAGATCTAGGTGAGGGTTTTCCAGGATGCCAAGTTGTGCCCTGCACAGTGTTAGAGCTCATGATTCCCAGGGACTCCACGGAACATGACTGTGTGTGGTTCCTTCAATCAAGACCAAGTTTTGCTCTAGTGATTTTCCCCCTTTAGCTGATCACATGGGTAGTCTGCATAAGGGGCTGGCTTGTCCCAGAGATGGGAGCAGAGAAGGCAGGGTTGAAGAACAGAGTGGATTCTGCTCAGTCTTTCCACACACCAGTAAGGCTCCACACTGGTGGTCTGGAGGAAGGAAGCACTGGGACGTCCAAGTTTTGTGAACTCTAGCCCTGTAGGTTTCCAAACAGAATCATCATTGCAGAACTTGGACTCCAAAGGCCTTAAGGGGCCCTTAACGACTCTTTGTTCCAGGAAAGTTCACGCTATTGACAAAACTTTCGACATCATGAACAACTCGGGAACTGAGGGTGCCATCAGCACCACCCTCCGAACCCCAACCTGGTGATAACACATATTTAATCACGTGCTCTTGGCCCTCCCAGCTTTGTTTTCCCCAACTTTATGCTTCCTGAGAACAGAATCTGTGATTCACTTAAGCTGTCCAGCACCCCTAGAGCAGCTGCCTCACATGCAGTTGGTGCTCAGTGACTGTTTGTTCTGTGGACCTGGCAGTTCTCAGAGGTGATGTGATCATGAGTCAGAGCTGCTTCAGCTGGGGCCCCCCAGACAGGCTTGGCTCTGGGTCCTACGGCAGAACGGTCCTGGCTCTGGGAGTTGGGAACCACCTGGAAGCTCCCAGCTGGGGCAGATGAGAACCCAGGATGAGAATCAGAATGTGGCTGGACTGGAAACAGAATGCCCTCAGAGCTCGCATCCCAGCAAGACCTCCCAGGCCTTGGCCTGAGCCTGAGTGGGAGACAGGGATGGGCATCCTGGGACCCCTCTTCCCACTCAGTGGCAGCCCTCTGAGCACCTCACCGTCTCTGCTTGTCCACCCTACAGGACTGTATTCCAGAACTTGTGTTCAAAGTGAAACGCTGCTTTTTTTTTTTTTGCCTTTAAATCTAAAGGAAAGTCATTCTAAATCATGAACGTACTTATTGACCCTTCCCAAATGGAAGGCAAAGTGCCCGTCGTCCACAATTTTAATCTAAGTCAATTTCTTTCCTAGCATGAAAAACAAACAAAAATAACTTCTCAGGAAGGTGACGGCCAGAGGGGACTGTGAAGGGCTCTGGGGTCACTTTCGGTGTTCAGTAGTTGATCCTTGGCAAAGGTAAATGGTACACGCTTTGCTGGCCTCTGAGCAGACTGGGCACAGGTGGACCAGGCTGTTTGGGAAGAATTACAGGGCAATTAAAAAGACTTTTTGAAAGTTGGTAATATTGTCAATTCCTTTGCCATTTCATGTGAGCAGGAGGATTAATTAGTGTTGGCTTTATAGAGTTATATCTAAATGCACACGTCTCGGGTTAGATATTTCTTTTTACTAGATTAGTCAGATTTGTTCCCGGCTGTGAAGGCCACCTCTGGGGAATTCAATTGTGTCTGCCTCTAGTTTGCTGGAATGTGTTATCCGAAGCTGACACTGGACCATTTGCAGAGACACTGGTTCTGTACTGACCTCATTAAAATAATAATAAAAAAAATGGGTAAGAATTTAGAATACAGGGGCAGATGCGGTCACAGAGTTTTTTTTTGTTTTTATCAGTTTCTGCAAACGACTTTTTAAAACAAGCATATTTTCCCAATTGCATTCTTTGTTTTTACACTTTGTAGAAGAGAAGGAGACAGAATTCTCTGTAGTAGGGGCATCTTTTAATGAAGCTCAGAATAGCCCTCCAGAGCTATTATCCAGACCTTTGCAATGTGCAAATCTGAGCCTAAGAGGTTTCCAATTCTCCCTCTCTCAATTAAGCCATAATTAGTAGAATAGTTTTTCTTTGGTGACCTTGGAAATGCAAGATATTACAGAAATAAATGTATTCATGATTCTCTCTTATTGCTTATGGTAATGAAGGTAGTTTGTCTTAATCAGTTCTTAGCACTGGGCCTGGAACAGTCAATGTTTGTTGAATGAATAAATATTTGGGTTGGTCCTTGGGCCATCATCTGGAGCAAGGGTTCTCAGCTGAGTGTGTACAAGGTTTACCAAGACAGATTGTTAACAGTTATTCCAGGTTCTGGTCTCCAAAGTAATTATTCAGTAGTTCATAGAAAGGACTCAGGAATCTATGTTTCTAAGAGATGACCAGATGGATTTGGATGCACCTGTCCTTTGGACCTACACACTGGGGAGAAAAACTGCTCTGGGAAATATAGCATTTCAGAAATTAGGAGAAAAACTTTCTAGAAACCATTTAGACTCCTTCCCATTTCCATCCGTGCCCAAAGCCCTCTTTGAGGATCCCCCATGACAACCCCTGCTCCTGCACAGTTGCTCTGGCGAGGTCTCCAGATGCCATACCCTAGGCCTCTATGTCCTGATCACTGTGGAGTCTGCTGTGCTCCAGACCAGGTTCTTGTTCGTCCTCTGAAACCACACAAGAGCAGCAAGACTGGAGCAGGTCCTGTGGGCTTGCTCTGGAATTGTACACATTTGCTAAGTGGCCTTGCTCACATTAGTCTGCCTTAGGTGACTTTCCAGGCCCCTGGTACTGAGTGTTTGACACAAGACACTGAGTGAGGTTAGACACATGGGCTTAGGTGTAAAGGTCATATATTTAACCTTAGCATTGGCACAGGGCACATAACATAGGCTCCATGCATTGCAGATGCTTTACCCCAGTGGGTTATAAATTTGAGGGCTGAGACTTTAGTCATATATGTGAAGTGCCATATATCAACACTTCAGTTGATGATGGACTACATATATGACAGTGATCCCATAAGATTTTTATGGACCTGAAAAATTTCTATCACCTAGTGACTTAGCTGTCACAACATGGCACAATGCATTACTTAGGTGCTTGTGGTGATGCTGCTGGTGTACACTAATCTATTGCACTGCCAGTCATTTAAAAGTACAGCCCATATGATTATGTATCATTCTTAATTCTCGATAATATGCTACCATGTTACTTGGCTTATGAATATACTATATTGTTATTTTAGTGGGCTTCTCCTTATTAAAAAACAACTTACTGATAAACAATATGCATGGCATACTGACAGCAGCCTCAAAACTCTTGGGTTTACCCTGTCTCCTGTTTAATGAAGTAACTGGACACAAGGGCCTTTTAAGTAGACGTGGTCAGTAGCACATAGCAGGAAAACGTCACCTTTAGACTCAGAAGCTGAAGATGCTCAGGACACTGCCACTGCAGGAACCTGGAAGGCATTTTGCTGCCAGCAGATTGTGTTGAGTCTGCATTAAAGAAGAATTGCACTTTCTCTAATGGCATCAATGTGTGCACCGTGAGCAGGAGCAGAAGCAGCAAAGTGATAAAAATGTCGAGACAGAAGAATACATCGTAAGTCTAACTAGGCACGGCTGCAGACAGAGACGGAGAAGTCCAGTTTTGCTAGCGCTGATTCACCTGCTGCATGGGGCAGGGGGTGGTGCAACCTGAAGAGCAGCCACAAGGATGTCATTTCAAGCCCGTGGGAAACATAACTTCAAGGCGTGATGGGGCAGCTGCCTTCTGCAAATCACCCCTCAGCGTGAGAGGGGCTTAGTTCTGCAGGACAGCACTCTGATTTGGTGATTCTTGAATTCTTCTGGCCTTTTATCAAAATCATAAGTTGGTCATCACAGTTCCCAGGGTCCATCCACTTGACATGGCTGTATGCGGAAGGAAGGGGTTGGGGTGCAGTCTCTCTTTTTTCCCTTTCCTCGCTCTCTTTCTTCTTCTTTTATCCAGGAAAAAATTCCTTCTCAGAAGTTTTCTGTTGCAAGCCATCCATGGGCTGTGTGTGTGAGCTATGTGCATTTGAGCACATGAGGTGGCCGGTCTGGCTGATAGGACTATGTGACGCAAGTGTGCCTTTCCTCTCACTCTGCCTGTGATCCCACACAGCACCTGAGATGGGTGTGACTTGCCAAGATGTCAATCAATCTACTGACCATAAGACTCCACCTTTCAAAACCCTATCCCTTGACTGATTTGGCTGGAATATTCTATCGAATGTCTTTTTCCCAATAGATAGAGGGGTTCCGGGTGTGCTCTCTCTCTTGTTCCTTCCAGTGCTATCCAGCATGGAGCTGACCCTTGGGGTCACAGAGCGGTCCCACCCACGAAACTCATTTTCATGTGTTGCTTGGTTTCTTTGCCATTTTCTTAGTTATTACTGCAGCCAGCTCCTTTAAGCCCAGCTCATCTCATCAGCCCGGTCAGCTGGTGACAAGTTTTCCAAAAGATTTCCCTGAGTTCTCTTTGGCCAGACAAAATACAAGCTTGCCTCTTGCCCATGCCTGGCCAGTGCTGCTCGGTTGCTATTTTGGTTCACACCAGCCATAGTTCACAAAGCTTTTAAATGGACGTATCGGATGGCCCAGCATGGGTAATTGGCCAGGGGAGGTATGCTAGCAGGGAACCAATCAAGCTCTTCCAGCTCTGAGCTTAATAAGCCAATCAGAAGTGCATGGTTTCAATCTTTTATTTATGTAATTAAGAAGACAGGTCCAATCTTGTGGTTTGACACATGTTGGGGGAGAGGAAGCATCTCGGGCAGGGGTCTGCTTGTGGTTGGACATTGCTAGGGGAAAGGGCAAGGGTAACTAAGGAAAGTCGGCTGTGGTTGCAGCTGTGAGGAACAGAAGCAGGTGTTGTCTTTAACTCAAGAGAAGGCCTCACGGTTGACGCCAGCAGGGGCCGCAGGTCACAGGATGTCTTTCAGACCCACTGTCTCCTTGCAGGTTGGCATGGCATCCCTCTCCCCTTGTGCCCTTCTCCAAGGCCCTTATCCTGGCTGCCTATGGGAGACCTATCTTCCTGCCTCAGTAGTACCTGCCCCACGAGGTGGATGACTGTGTGGGCCCTTCCATGACAATCTCAGCTATTGTACTCTCTTGCTTGCATTTACATTTGATCCGGTCTTGAGAGAACTAGTGTTCTTTAAATGTTAGAGAATAACAACAACAACAACAACAACAACAACAATAATGCTGAAAAAGAACTAGAAACTTCAGAGAACATAAAAAATTAAAAATACCCTCACAATCGTTAGCCTCACCATCAGCCCATCCATTTGTGCTTCCTTGCTCTAATAGCAGTAGAAAACCACAGCCTTTCAACCGGCAAATGGTGCCGAAGGCCTCAGCCAGAAACCCAAGGAGCAATAACACCGCGCAGCGGCTAAACTCCACCCTCATGAGAATCGTTAAGTAACTCTAATCATTTATGAAATTTAGTCTAGTGGAGTCATAAAATTGATTTTTTCAAACATTTGTATTCATTATTTAAACACTTGTTCTCAGACTTGGCCATGGAAAGAACACATAGAAAAGTCGTTTTTTTTTTTTTTCCTTTCAGACATTTTGGGACTATGTATATGTCAAAATTTATAAATATTTAACATACCTTTTAGAGCTATAAATGCTGTGATGTAACATTCTTCTCTTAAAGTCTCCAGATCTATGTACTCGGACTTCTAGTTTTATTGGAAAGCTCATTTCTAAGAAGATAAGAATCTATTTTCTAGGTAAACACTTGAAAACGTCATTAAGAGGCATCAAATAAAGATGACTAGGAATCTGGAGATAGGATCGTTGTTAATTTATCAGAACCATTTCCTGGTGTTGCTGCTGTTCTGTGCAGCTTTCTAATGGGGGAGCTTATGACCTGCAGGGAGGTTGCCAACAGAAGGAGGCACTGAACCCTGGAACGTCTCTGACCCAGGTAAGGGAAAGTGGGTGGTGGGCCTGGGAGTGGGCTTTGTTGAGTGGTGAGCTCTTCATATGGGAAGAGGCCCAATCCAGGGGGTGCTGCCCCCTTCTATCATGAACTGAGAAGCGTCGCAAGCTGCTGGGCTCTGGTCCATCCTGTCTGTGGGCTTTCTCCAGTGACATTACCCCAATGAGACCTCTGTCTGGCAGAGCTGTCCTAAGTGACTGACATAGCCAGGGCCACGCTTGTCTTTGCCTGCGTCATGGGAAAAAGGGCTCATCCAGTGGCTCAGAAAGGGTCTGGGTTTCAGAAAAAAAAAATAACAATAATATGTTTTTCTCAAGCCTTTTCTCTTTCTCAGGTTTTTTTCCCAAGGGAAGACGAACTCAACATTTGTTCTTCGTGGGGGAATCCAGCCCCTTGTCTGAAGTGCGGAGCCTGGACAGTGTGGACTGAGCTCCCCAGCAGCCCTGCCCTTGGGTCAAGAGAAGTGTCCCCAGTTGCTTTCTTTGTTCCTGCTTCACTCACACCTCCATCATCTGCCCTATCAGACATACAAATGGAAGTGATTCTGTAACTCATTTTGGGGTGACATTCATATAGAATATCATTAGCCATTTTAAGTTCACCATCCAGCGGCATTTATACAATCACAGTGCTGCGCAGTCATCATCCATCTAGTTTCAGAACATTTTCATCACCCCACATAGAATCCCCCTACCAATTAAACTGTCATTCTCTTCTCCCAGCCTTCCAAGTTCTTGGCAACCATTCATCTGATTTCTCTCTCTCTCTGAGTCTACCTATTCTGGATACTCCATGTAGATGGAATCATATAACATAGGGTCTTTTATTTATGTCTTCTAACACCATATTTTTTTCATGGCTTATCCATATTGTAGCATGTGTCAGTATTTCATTCCTTTTCATGGCTGAATAATCATCCATTATATGGATATACCACATTGATTTTGTCCATTCATTCCTTGATGAACATTTGTTTCATTAAAAAAAACTATGCTATAGTTTTTTTGTTTGTTTGTTTGTTTTTTACAAAGACTTTCACCTCTGTTTACTTTCTTTGTTGTGCAGAGAACCCTAGGCTGAAATCACTGGCCATCGACTTGGAGAAGTTTTCAAAGGGCAAGATGTGCAATGTATGGACTGTGGGGCTCTGGGCTTCAATTGCTTCAGGAAATGTTTACCTGTCCCTGCGGTAAAGGATTTCTATCAGTCACATCCTTGGATCTAACAGCCTTTGCTCCAAGGGCCTCCTTCTTTCACTCAGTAGCACTTGCACGTCCACGGGATGAGTCAGTCTCGACTTCAGTGTGACAATGTGCCTCTCTTGTGAGTTGTCCTTCCTGTCCCAAAGCTTGCCCTCTGCTTCTTCTTGTGGCTCTCTAATTGTTCCATGGTCTCACAGGTTCCCATGCTTTGAGCCCAGAGCTGGGATTCCCAGTTATGATATAAGCCTGGCAATGTGGCTGGCTCTCTTTGGTGTTTAAGTTTTTTCTCCCTTGAAAGTGGAACCCGTGGAAATGTCAAGCTGCCTTGTGGTTTTATAAACGCCAAGTGCTAAAAACAATTAAGTGTAAGATGAAATGCCTAGGTGAGGGTGATTTCATAAAGCCTTAGCTGTCGGGCTCCCCAGGTTCACCGACCGCTCCCCACCTGGACTCTGGGCCAGCATTCCTGCTTGGGGTCCTGTTGACTCCACAGCCATCCCAGGTCAGTCTTACATTCTGTAATGTCACCAGGGCCCCACTGGTGAGGTCACAGTCCCCCCAAGGCCTTTCCCCACGCCTCCAGTCCTGGGGCTACATGTGTTTTGCCCGTCAGGCGGGCAGTTAGCATCACCCAGAAGTGACCCCACATATCTGTGAAGCCACAGTCTGCTGACATGAGTAAGTGATAACTCTTTCAATGTGTGGAGTGTTTTTTTTTTTTTTTTTTTTTTTAAACCACGAAGCCCAGAGGAACCCCATGACATATGGGAAAAGCACTTCTAGCTGCAGAGCCTCTTGGGGGGCCTGCCATCCTCTCTGGCTGCTCATCATTGGTGGCCCCTCTAGTTTGTGGCATTGTGAGAGTTGGAGGATGATATCACAGAGGAAAAGGTCTTCGTTCCATTCTGGCTGAAAGAAAAAGTGGTCCTTTCCCGCCCCACCAAAATACGCCTAATGAGTTAGAAACAAAAACCTATAAAGTTTTCCTATCACCCCAAGGCTCCCGTCACCTGTTTGTTCAGGCTTTTCCTGAAGCTGTGTGACCGACACATGGAACGAAACGAGATGGAAGGTCCTCTCCGATGGGAACAGGGAATGTCTGAACTGTTTTAGGACAACACCCATCAGCTCCGACCTGTGGAAAGGGAGGAACGTTTTCATCCCAAGGCTTTGCACAACTTTATGAGAAAAGGAACCAGGGAAACTTTCCAAACTCCCAAATCTCACTTCAGGCACAAGACCAAACATGGTATTATTTCTCCAACCCCCCAACCCTCCGCCCACCCCTTCTCTATCAGCACTGCCCCAAATTGCTCAGAAGCAAAACCAAGCAGAAGTTCTTCCCCACCACCTCCCTCCACGTCATCATCAGGGAAGCTTCCAGAAAGAACACGAGGGCCAGCTTCAAGAATTCCAGGGCAACATGCTTCATGAGGCCTTCCGGCTTGTGACCTGCCGTGGAAGGAATTTGGGCTTTGTGCCCACAGGCTGATGTCAAAGAGGTCAACGAGTATTGAAAACAGGGTGGGGGACTCTGTCAATAAACAGGAGGAAATAAGATTTGGGGCTGCTTTGCAGCCTGTTGAAACATGGAGTTCCATCTTAGGAAATCCTGCACCCACACAGGCTCACCCTGGGTCCCAGGGGTGTCGTCCCCCCGCCCCTTTCCCGGCTCTCTCCCACCACATGCCTATTTTCCGTGGATAACTGGGCCAGTGTTGCTCACTGAGCTCATACATTCATGGTCTATTCTGGACAAAAAGCAAACAATAAGAAATGTTTCTCTGAGAAATAAGATCTGAGGGCCTTAGACCTGGCATGAAAGGTGGCAAGGGTGTGGGGGAGGGACCCAGCTCCCAGCCAGCTCCACCCTCCCCTGCTCCGGGCTGGGCACACCCTCCCAGTCCATGTGATTGGCCTTCCCTGGGATCTTGTGAACTGCAAGTGGTCACCGTCATTTTCTGGACAAGGAAACAGTCTCAGGAAAGTGAAGTTTATGTGTTTTGTTTCCTGCTGCTCTTGAAGGATCTGAGGTATTTAACAAAAGTGTTTATGACTCAAAAGGAAAATAATCAGAACTTGATGGAGAGAGGTAGAGCAAAGGCAGAACATGGTAGGAACAATCAGCCACCCAGTAATGCTCACCAGATGGTTGAGTTTAGAGGTGGTCCTGAATTTGGCTCAAGTTTCCCCCAGAAGCCAAAACAGAAGGAACACAATCTGCAGCTAGAAAAATGAAGCACATTAAATAGGAAGTAGAGGATCTAGAATTTGAACCCAGGTTTTCCTGAGGCCAAAGCTCATTCATTCCCTCTTTCATTCATGAGGTGGGGTGTGTGCTGCGGTGGAATGGAGGCTATGGCCCAAGACTGAAATGAGAATCTAAGCCCCACATCCTGCCACATGGTGAAGAGAGCCACAAACGTCTGCCATGATTTGGGCCAGATGCTCCATGCTGGGCTTATCAAGAAGCAACAATATGGGGTTCACCATTTACTGCCCCCCTCCAGGGTCCCTCCTGGCCTACGTGGGAAAAGGACGGGGAGGTAGGCTGGAGGGAGTCTTCTTAGCACTCAGACTGTCTGTGTGTGGTGGGGGGCTGGGTTCACACCATGAGGGAGAGGATGCTTTCCCTTCTTCGCTGCACATGCAAAGACTGGGGTTCTGTCCAAAGGGAAACTAGCTGGCCGGAGGTTTCCTGAACTGCAGAACCCACAGCCTCACCCAGCGCTGTCTCCAAAATTCATCACAATGAGGAATGTCTTGGACAGGCCAATGGGGCCCCTTGAAAAAAGGTGGGGGAACATGGACATAAAGACTGGTGTCCACAGTGAGCCCACTGGAATTGCTGATACCAGGAAGACTTGAATGACATTGTAGGACAGTGTCCCTGGGAAGAGGAGGGGATAGCTCCTGCCCTACCTTATTTCCCACAGCCCTTAGAGGGTACAAAAGTGCTTCCCAAACACGTCTTCCTCTTTATTCATTCTTAGAAGAGTGACTTGGGTAGGTTAACCCCAAAACCCAAACCTCCAAAAACCTTAGCTTAGAGATTTTGAAAAAAATTGTTTTACTGAAATTCACTAAGTCTTCAGTTTTGTTATCTATAAAATGGGCACAGGACTGACTACCACCCCCTTGTAACGGTTTGGATTTTAAATGTTCTGCAAGTCTCCTGTGCTAAAGGCTTGACCCCTAGCTGATGGGGCTTTAGGAGGCGGGGCCTAGTGGAAGCAAGTTAGTTCATTGGGGGACATGCCTTTAAGGGGATATTGGGACTCCAGCCCCTTCCTCTCTCTCCTTTTGCCTCCTGGCCATTATGGTGTGGGCAGCTTTGCTCTTCCACGTTCTTCCGCCATGACATGCTGCTTCACCATAGGCCCCGAAGCAGCAGGGCCAAGTGACTATGGACTGAAACCTCTGAGACAATGAGCCAAAATAAATGTTTCCCCCTTTAAGTTGTTCACCTCAGGTATTTTGTCACAGCAACGGAAAGTTGACTAGCTCCCCCACCCCTACCCCAAAATTTTGTGAGGTTTTGGCAACATTTTTCATCATTTTTTTGTTGTTATTGTATATTTTCTCTGAGTCTGTTTTGTCCTGAGGAATATCCAGGATATACTGTTCTTGGGAATTGTAGCCCTCTTTCTTCAGGTCTATCGCATTGGAATTTTCCAGAGGATTAAAAATCACATTCCTGAGCCCACTGAAGGTGCTTCTGATTCAGGATGCTCAGAGGAGAGTGGGTTTGAAGTCAGAGACATTGGGAGCTCCCCAGATGACTCTGTCTTGTAGCCTGTGGTGAGTACTTCTGCCTCAGGTTACACTTGAAAATCCTGATTTTTGAGGCCTCTTGTGTTTTCATTGTTCAAATAGCTCTCCTCTGGTTCTGTAAAATGCGTGAGATTCCCAGAAGGTTCTCGGCTTTGCCTGAAAGGCAGAGCTAGTTCAAAAGATGGGTGCAGAGAACCATGATTAGCTGCTAGCACGTCATCTCAGATGGCTTCACTGGATCACCAACCTCACAGGTCTCTGAAGGAACGGGGCTCAGCACAGAGGACAAGTCCTACAACCTAGCTGGGAGAACTGAACACAGCCCTGAGGAGCCAGGGCCCTGCCAGAACCTTCAAGAAGGAAGAGGCAGGAATGGAAGAGGCAATCACTCTCCTTCATCTAATAAGCATTTGCATATTAACATGTTTTCACTTTGAAGTAATTTTAGCCTTACAAGAAAAAGTTGTAAAAATAGTACAAAGATTTCCATATACATTTCACTTAACTTCTTCAAATATTAACCTCTTCAAAACCAGCGCAATGATCCAAACCAGGAAATTAACATTGATATGAAACAATTAATCTCTAGCTTAATTTTGTAGAATTAAGTTAGAATTTAATTTCAAATGAAATCATTCAAATTTATCCAATTATCCCATGAATGGCCCAGGATCCAATCCAGGATGCTATATTATATTTAGTTGCCACATTTCTTTAATATCCTACAACCCAGCTTTTTTGAAGAATGTCTACAAGTTTAGGTTTGTCTGATATGTCCTCATCATTAAATGCAAGTTAATCATTCTTGATAAGAATATCACAAGAAATGATGGTGTTCCTATCTATATTAGTTCATTTTCTGTTGCTATAAGAAAATACCTGAGACTGAGCCCTTTGTAAGTAAAAGAGGCTGAATAGCTTATGATTTTGGAGACTTGAAAGTCCAAGATTGGGTAACCCCATAGATTTGGCCTCTGGTGAGAGACTCATGTCTGCATCAAATCATGGTAGATGTTCTCATGGCGGGAGAGTGTGCAAGAAGGGAGGGATCACATGGTGAATTAGGAAGCCAGAGAGGAAAAAAAAAAGTACTTCTCTCTCAATGACTAACCATGGTCCCAGGAGAACTATGTCCATTCCTTCCCAGGGTGTTATGCTCAGTGACCTGATAACTTCCCACAAGGCCCTGCATCTTAAATGTTCACCACCTCTCACATCACCACACTGGGAAACAAGGTTCCAACACAGGAGCCCTTACAGTCAAAACATTTAAACCAGGGCTCCTTCTCAGGGCATCGTTATAGGAGGTACTGTTTGCATTTTTTGGACAAAGCACCTTAGAAAAACATACACCCATTTTGACAAGGAAAAAACTTAGCAATAACAGAGAGGTGAAGCTGCATCCTAAGCCTGGCTTTCTCTGCTCTCCTGCCCTCTCTTTAACCCGAGTGATCAGCCTTTCCTTCCAAATGCTGCCTCAGTAAGCTTGTCCCCACCCCCACCCCCGCCCCCCCAGGATGTGAGGACTTCTCCTAGGTGGGCTGTACTCCTCTCTGGAAGTCTCTCATGAAAATAGGTTCACAAAGTAATACAAATGAGGTTACCACCTGTAGTTAAGCACAATTTTCTTTGGGAAGAAAAACTGGATATCATAAAAAGAACTGAATGTGATGAAAGAAACTAAGACATTTATATTTCTGTGAGATTTTTCCAGCAAGAAAAATATTAAATAAACTGCCGAAAAGGTAGTTGCTGATATAAAATCAGCTCATGTGTCAAGTGGGTAGGAGTGAGCTACTTCTAAGTAGTGTAAGGAGAGAGGAGGCCAAGGAGGATTTTGAGTGAGAATGAGGGCCAGGACAGTTTTTGCCTACGCCACTGGTTGTCACATAACTTTAGTATAAAGTGTGCTGCTTGACAAAATCCAAAATGTGCTTGTCTTACATGCACAGCTCTTTTGCCTTGCTTGGGTCATTTTGAAACAAATTAAGAGCTTTGACATAGGAAAAGTATTCAGAGGATCAAAGATGGACTTGGTTTGGTGCTGTTGGCTGAGAGGGAGAAGAAGGTAGTCAGGGGAGTCGTTTATTCTTATTAGACTATAGTGCCAATGATGTTATCCTTGAAGAAAAATCATATTTGCTCCATTTTAAAGACGAAAACCAAAGAAAATGACAAAATAAAGAGAAAAAGGAAGTGAACAATTCCTGAATCAAACACTTGTAGCATTTTGACATCTCTTAGGATCTCTTTTTAATCCAAATACCCACATGGAGGTTTGCCATCTTATGATAAGAATATGAAGGTCCCCAGGGATAACCATTCCAATAGCTTGGTGTATGTCCTACCTGGTTTCCCCCCACTGTCTTGGAACTCACC